ATCCTCCTGCCTCTGCCTTCTCAGTGTGGAGATTAAAGGTGTACACCACCTTTAAAGCTTTAAAGGTTATTTTTTAACTTATTTATCCTTTATTTTATTTTTTTTTTTAATTTCATGTGTATGAGTGTATTGCCTGCATTCATGCAATGCCTGAGGAGGTCAGAAGAGGGTGTCGAATTTCCTGGAACTGGAGTTAGCGACAGTTGTTAGCTGTCATGTGGGTGCTGGGACTCGAACCCAAGTCCTCTAAAAGAGCAGTCAATGCTCTTAACCACTGAGCCATCTCTCCAGCCCAAATTTATTTATTATTATTTTATGTGTATGAGTATTTTCCTTGTGTGTATGTATGTGCACTCATGTCATGAAATGCCTGCAGAGCTCAGAAGAGGGTATCAGATACCCTGGAACTGGAGTTAAGGACAGTTGTGGGCTACCATGTGGTTGCTGGGAACTCAACCCAACTGCTCTAGAAGAGCAGCCAGTCCTCTTAAGTGCAGAGCCATCTCTCCAGTCCTCCAAGGGATATTCTTGAAGTAAAATTGGGCTATTAAAAAAAAAGATGGCTCATCTGTTAAGAGTGCTTGCTGCTCTTCCAGAAGACCCAGGTTTGGATCCCAGCACCCACTTTGGGCCACTCACAACTACCTGTAACTCCAGCTTTGAGGGATACTGTGCCTTTGGCCTCTGTGGGCACCTGCACTTCTCTACACAGACAGACACACACATACACACAAATAAATAATAATAGAATAATATATAATAAATAGTAAGTCTTTTTAGGATGGATGTGGTAGTATACACCTTTAATCCCAGCACTCAGAAGGCAGAGAGAGATGTATCTCTTATCTCTATGAGCTCAAGGTTAGCTTGGTCTACATAACGAGTTTCAGGTCAGTATACATTATATGAGCCAGGCATGGTGGTGCATGTCTTTAATCCCAGTGCTCAGGTGGAAGTGGCAGGTGGACCTCTGTGAGTTCAAGGTCAGCCTGCTCTACATATCAAGTTACAGGGTTACATAGTGAGACCCTGTCTCCAAAAATCTTGGTAATACATTAGATGCATGTAATGAAACTCTGAAACAATAGAAAAAAGAAGATTTGGGGCAGGCAAAATGGTCAGCAGGTAAAACCCTTGCCATGCATGCCTGAGGACCTGAGTTGGATTCCTGGAACCAACTCCACAAAGTTATTCTCTAACCTCCACACATGTGCCATAGTGTGTGCACACACACATCATGTACACACAATAGTAATAATAATAAACTTTTAAATTATTTTTTCTGAGCTAAGGATGTGGTTCACTTGATGAAGTGCCTGCCTAGCATGAACCAAGTTCTGGGTTGGCCCCCAGCACCACATAAAGAGGGTACAGTGATGCAGGCCTGTAATCCCAGCACTCAGGAGGTACAGGCAGGAGGACGTCTTCACCTTCTCTTTTAAAATATTTTTATGTATATAATGTTTTGGCCTGCATGTGCCCCCTTACTTTGATCTCAGTTTCTTTTTTAAATTGTTTTATATGTATGAGTGTTTGCATATATATAAGTATACCACATGCTTGCAATGTGCACAGAGACCAGTAGAGGGCAGTGGGTCCCCTGGAACAAGAGTTACAGATGGCTGCACGCCACCATGTGGTGCTGGGAACCAAATCCAGGTCCTCTGCAAGACTACACAGTTTCTTAATCTTCTTAAATTTTTTAAATTTATAATTAATTTGTTTTTATTTTATGTGTATGAGTGTTTTGCCTTCACATATTTATATGCACCATCTGCATGCAATGCTCATGGAGGTCAGAAGAGGGCATTGGATCCCCTGGAACTGGAGTTACATATGGTTGTTAGCCATCATATGGGTGGTGGGACCCAAACCCAGGGCCTCTACAGGAGCAGCCAATGTTCTTAACCACTGAGCTGTCTCTCAAGCCCCTTTTTAAATGTTTTAATTACATTTATTTAGGTATGTGGGTGTGCCATGGCTCCTGTGTGGAGGTCAGAGGGCAACTTGAAGGAGTTGGGTCTTACCTTCCACCATATGGGTTCCAGGGATCAAACTCAGGTCATTAAGCTTAGAGACAAGCACCATTACAGACTGAGTCAGATGTTTTAATCTTAAAAACAAATTTTCCCCACTAAGATTAAGGGGCTAGCTCTGGCTAATTAACATTGAAAAGATAGCTACTTCCTTTATGAGCAACAATCTGTCTCTTGGAAGGAAAAAATTGAACTTCTATGCCAACCAGAAACGTTATATACTTAACTATGATGAAATCAGCCCAGTATCAGTTTGCAATGATAATTCCTATAAACTCATGAGAATTAAAAGCACATCATAGGTATTACATGTTGGAACTACAGTAGATTCTTTAGAGCTGCATCCTATTATTGCTCGAAGCTGTCACTCTGAGAATGAAGGTACAGAGAATTCTAAATTAGTTCTAGTCCCAGCATGGCCTGCAGGGTCCAGCTACTCCAGGCTGCCCACTTCTGATCTCCATACCAGTTCTCCAAGTGTCTTCCAACAGTTGACCGAATGAACAGAAATCAAGGCAGTTTCTTCAGATGAGGAAGGGGCTTCAAAGTCAGAAGACCTACACATCTCTACACTTTGCCCTTCTAAAGATATAAGACCTTCAGCAAGTCATTTTATTTTCTGAGCCTCAGTTTTCTCCTCTATAAAAGAATAAGACCATCATCGCTTGTGTTCTCCATTGTAGAAAATGGTTGATAGCACACTGCTACTAAATGGTCACAAATTATTACAAATTAGCTCATTATGAGAATCACAATTAAACTATGTGAGATTTATTCAAACTGTAACACTTTTCTCAACCTTTTTTTTTCTTTTTTTTTTGGGGGGGGGGTCTTTTTGAGACAGGGTCTCCCTGTAGCCCTAGCTGGCCTGGAACTCACTATATATACCAGGCTGGCCTCAAACTCACAGAGCCAGCCTCTGCCTCCCAAGTGCTGGGATTAAAGTCATGAACCACCACGCCTGGCTCAATCTTTAATTTTTTTTAAATAGGATATTTTAATATAGAAAAATGAAAACTTCTAAGGCAGAAAACTTTTCAGTGTGGGGGCTGGAACCCAGGACATGGACTAGACAAGTGCTCTCCTACTGAGTTACACACTAAGCCTGACATTTTTTTTTTTTAATGGTCTTTTGTGGGGCTGGAGAGATGGCTCAGCATTAAGCACACTGGCTGTTCTTGCAGAAGACCTGGGTTCGAAACCCAGCACCCACATAGCAGCTAACAACTGTCCATAACTCCAGTTCTAAGGGATCCGACAACCTTTTCTGTCCTCCATGGGCATTGCACGACACGGGTGCACTTACCTACATGCAGGCAATATACGCATACACATAAATAAAAATAATAAATAAAATATTTAAAAAATAAAATGGCCTTTTGTGTATCAAAAGTGGAGCTTTAAGTATCAACAGAAAGTTAAAAACTGGTAATTTTTTTTAAATGGTGGAGTGTTTATAAATTTATTCAAACCTCACATGGTCAAAAATCCTTAAAACTGTCTAAAGTCTGCAATTCAGAACCCAGATACAGCCAGTTGTCTAAATAATAAATGATCCACCACAGACTCGAGGCAAAGTCACAACAGGATGAGAGACGAGCCTTTGGCCTCGCTCAGATTTCCTGGCCACTGTTATTTTAAAACTTGATCACATAAACAGGGGAAAATCCCTTTCAGATAAGCCCCCATGGACTATAATTTACAATCTTTGTTTGTAATATGTTGTTGCAGTTCACATTAAATAGCATAGTTTTTTCCGCTTTTCTTGCTCATTTTTCTAGGTACTTACTAACAAAGATATGTATATTCTATACATCAGCTTTTTAATTATAGATCTTAACCGCAGTAATCTTTTCCTAAAGATAATCTCCTAAAAGTAACTTTTGAAAGCAAATATGCAACTTTAAAAGATCAGGAAAAGATAGGAAATATGTCACAGAAAATACAAATGCAACAGGCAGAAGTGCATCAAAGTAAAATAACCACTGTGCACGTAATTCCTGCACAAATGAAAAACCCAAAACTGGCAGGACATTTACAAGTCAATGACTTATTCTGAAGAGCTGCTTTGTTTCAGGCTCTTCCTCTAGCCCACTTGCAACATTTGTGGCTGTTTCCAAAATGAATGCTAGAGGGCACTAAGGTAAGTTTTTTTTTTTTTCAGTAAACATTTTCCAATTGGAAAACCACAACCCAAGACATGCTTGAAGCCGAGTTAATTTGTACAGAAATGCTGCTGTTCCTCCTACAACCTTTGTACCATGACCACTACCAAGCTCAAGATTCACATTTTATGGTGTGGAGACAGTTCCAGGTAAGCCTTAAGAGCTTCGAAAACTCAAAAAAGGAATATTTAGACCACAGAGTACTTGGAACTTTCATTCAGAACGTAGTGTATTAAAGCGTTAGTTTCCCAACAACATCTGTACATTGGGACTTAAACATCCCTCTTCTACACGTTTTAGGCCAGGTTAAAAAGTAATGAGTGTTCTGAAACTATGTAAATATTTCTGACAAGGATAATCTAGGAATATCCATATGAAATTGGCTCCTATTTAAAAACACAATCCAGAGTTAACCTAATTTTAATTCTTTAAGGAGTTTTTGGAATTAATCAATAAAGTTATTTTTCAGCACCACATCTGTAAAACTCGCACACTCGAGGTACTAGATAGCCTAGGGGCTAAAACTCCAGCTTTGTAGCGTCCCAACATGTTCTACACAGCTAAATTATTAATGGTGTCGTTTGATCTGCATATCGGACACAAGGGACCCTGCGGAGAATCTTCAGCGTGCTTCGAGGGGAAAATAAAAAGCTTTCGCAGCGTCGGGGTGGAGAGGCCACCTGAGCGCCCGGCTCCACCTGGGCGGCAGAGCCGGGGTGGTAGGGGCCGCGCCCCGGCAGAGCAGAGGCCGAGGCGGCGGAGGACAAGGCAGGCGCAGACCTCCGCGCGGGACACTCACCGGGGCAGCGGAGGCAGGTGCGCCGCGGGGTCCCGTCCGCGAAGAGGCCGCAGGGCCGGAGCCGGCGCGAGGGAAGAGAGCGACGCCGCGGCCGAGAGCGAGCAGCGGAGACGACGGCGGCGGCCGGGCTGTTGCTCGCTTCCTGCTCGGACAGATGCCGGCTCAGTCTACGCCAGCCGGCCGGAGCCCCGCCGAGTCCCCGGCCCGCCGCGCACGTCACCGCTACGGAGCGCCCGAGGGGGCGGGGGGCGGGCCGCGGGGCCGGGGACAGACTGAGAAGGGGCGGGGCCTCGGGACCGGCTAGCTGGGAGGGACGGGTCCTCGGAGCGCAGGCGGGGCGGACGGAGAAAGGGCGGTGCGTCGGGACTAGGTGGCTGAGAAGGCTCAGGGCCTCGGGACTGGGAGGGC